TCTTGAGGTGATTTAGCACTCAAAGGTCAGGTTAAAACTGGATGTTGTAGGCTTTTCTTGACACATGGGTGTTTTTCTTTTTAAACAGCATTTTTTTAGATTGTAAGATTTATTTTTTTTTAGATTTATAAGATATATTTTATATTAAATTATTGGTAGTATTCATTTGGTATTTATTTATTTTAATGGTATTTATTATTTTTGGTAGTAAAGAATTATGTATAATTATGTTATGAATTGTGTATTATTTGCAGACTGCTAGCTAGTATGTTGTAAGTTGTTGTGTTAGTAAATGTGCTTTTTCTCCAAAAATTAAAGTTGTCATTCCTATCACATACAATACCCAGATTAAAAAAGTCCACACTATTACATATTATGCCAAAACCACTTGAAGGTTGATCAAATTCATTATGTGACATTTATTCCTTCACATATGATAAATAAATGTTAACAGAGATTAAATGTATTTTAAATACGTTTTTCCAAACGGAAGAATCACTCATATATATATAGTGTTATAGATATAGATATAAGTAGTGTTAAAGGTCTGTAACACCTGCTCTTAAAAATATTTGACAAATATTTTGGAGGACGTTGGATGTATGTAATTGCTGCTCAGGGTATAGATATATATAGACAACTTGAACTCAATTTGAAGATCCCCTTCATGCACAGCTTTTTAGGTAAGTATTTCCAGCCGTCATTGACATTTGAAATTCAATCATCTATTATAAGTATGCAAGTCTCTTCTTGTGTGTGCAGTGGGTGATACAAGTGCGCTGGCGCAAAATTATTTAGACACTCAAGAAAATTGGGTACATTTATTTTGCGATGATTTTTTAATGAATTGATTAATAAATCAAACTCTTGAAAACAAAATAGTTGATTTGCAATTGTAATTTAATTTGTGTAAGTCTTATTTGGCAGTTCACTCAAAAAGATGTTAAAAATCCTGAATTACACGAAGTTCCAATTTATTTGTCACACAGGATTGCATTGTGGGAGTAGAGTATTGCATGTGGAGTGAATTTTGGCAGACGTCATCTACGGATTCCATCGATATATTTCATAGAAAAACAATATAAAAATTAGCATGGTAGTATGTTATTTTGAACATATGAAGTCCCATTCATAGAGACCCTTGGAACATTTGTTGTTCATTGTGGAACTGGGTGGGCCACATGAGTCACATGACTGCATCAGGCAAGGTCAACCTGTCACACTTTGTTACACACACACATCCTGTTCCTCGCCTCAGGCCTCTGTCACTACTTCTCAAAGCATTTAAGTGCTGTCACTATCTCATACAGTGAATTGTAAGACATGCACTAGTGTAGACCTGTCTTCACCAGTATACTCTATTCATTGTAAAAGACATAATATAATGCCCACAGCAGTGTTTAGAGTATACTGGAGAATATTGTTATTTGACTATCAGCACTATTCTAAATGAAAATATATTTTCATTGAAACATTCTCAAAATTAAGTGTTCATATGTGTTGTTATCAAAAGGAACTGTATTAAGTTCTTAAATCTTGCAATAAAAACTCTCTGTGCAGGTAGCTTTCATTAGCAGTGGGCAATCAGTCATGCAGTCAACCGGCTTGTTTGACTTTATTTGACTGTGCTGCCCTCTAGTGTTTAATTGTGTGTATAACATCGAAAGAATTATCTCCCTCTTAACACTGCTTTTCAATGCAAATTGAATATTTATATTACATAAGTTGACATCCGTTTTGCTGAAAAAAAAAACACCAATGCTGATATGATTTGATGTTTTTTTGATCAAATATACAATATAAAGCATGGAATTTGATTTAGCGGATATTGTAGTCGACCATGTAGATGATTTGATTAATTAGCCATTTAAAAAATTAAACACATTAAAATGTTAACATGTTCATGCCCTAGGTTCTAAAAGTGTAAAACACTCCAATTTTTTTCCATGAAATAAAAGGGTGACCCTGACATCAGATGTCCTTCTAATCATTTCCATAACAACCCTATTGAGAACATCTGCTATTAGCTCCGGATCAATATCCTTTTTGCAAATGCAAATTTTCACAGCTTCAGAAAAGTTTAAACTCCCCTAATGAGACTGCTAGATTGCATTAGAGGAGCTAAAGCAGAAGGAACCTGTAGTCCTTCAGGTGTTTATTTATATATATATATATATATATATATATATATATATATATGGATAGAGAGATTCTCTCTGCTCCTCAACCTGATGCCTTACTCATTAACAAAGACCTTCAGGTATTTTATAATCTTGGAACAACCACCCAAACACTATAAATGCATAAACGAGACAGAACATAATGTATTATGTCTTAAAAAATATTTTCATTTTTGAACATACAGAACAGTAACATTTCAAAAAGTCATTTCGGCAAGGAGAGAATAATATACATAGCATTTAACAGACAATACATAACTGTCTATTGTTAAAAAAAAGTATTGTGTATTCTCAGGTATCTAGAGAATATACACAAAGAAAATATTATTTTTCTTTTTTTCTTTAACCTTTAAGGTGACACACTTAATAATGCCCCTTTCTGGACACTGGTCATTTACAAAGCACAGTAATTAAATACATTAGGAATTAAATCTTAAAATGAAATTTCATTGTCAAATTTGTCTCGGATTACCCAAAACTAATTCATAACGAACTTCACAAATGTACAATTCCCACACTGACCATAACATTTCAATGACAACATTTCATGTCAATTCATGTCAGCATGGAAAAAGAAAATATTTAATATATAAAGCTGAAGTGTGACTTTTTTTAAGTTAAATACTTCAATGTACTGTAAACAATGACTAAAGCAATGGCATGAGTTTGCGGTTGAACTATATGCTGTTCGATCAATGTGTATAAAATATACAAAAGAAATGCATAGTACTATTTAAAATGTGTTTAAGATCACATACATGAAATGAAGATATATCATATCGGTTTTGATAACACTTTATTTTGATAGTCCATTTGTACGACATTCAACTAACTCTAAATAAGTTTGCAACTCCATATCAACTAGCAGTCATTGATCAGAGTATTAGTAGACTGTATACTTAATATCCGCAAACACTTTATTTATTTCCCCAACACATTCTGCTGACTATAAAAAAGTACTTACTCTACTAACCCTAACCTAACAGTCTACTAATACTCTAATGTTAGTTGATATATAGTTGCAGATGCAGTTAGTAGAATGTTTAAAGTGGACTACTGAAATAAAATGTAACCAATGGTTATATTCTACATGGAGCGAGTCCCCTCATAGAGGCCACCGTGTTGAGATCGCATGACTAGCCAAATACTACTCTGTTTATGCCATTAACTCCCTGTTTTGTACATTTTCAATTACAGAATAAATCATGACTGACTGTGAATAGCTGATGGCATGATTAACTAAAAAAAAAAAAAAAAA